TGATATATATATATACATATATATATACATTACAGCGAATAGCGGCTTTGTCGTATTGTCTACTGCTGCAATAGTTGCAAATGGGTATGTATGTCTGTATGTATTTTATTTTTTTGGTGCCTAAAAGCTGCTGCAGCTCTCAGCTGTTTGAAAGACGGCCAGACACTTGGTTGCAAGAGAGACAGAGAGAGAGAGAGAGAGAGGCTACTATGCACTCATGCGCATTGCAGACCAAATAAATGAGAGTGACCTGCGCAAGGTTGCCACTTTTGAGTAAAAGTAAGTTTTCGGTATTTTAGATAATCTACTTTTGTATGTCTATGTAAATAAATAAGCAATGGAAGTGCTGTTTCGAATATTATTCCGTTTACAAATGCAATTTTGTTGTTGCACTCTATAGATTTTAGGGCTGCATAAAAACATAAGACTTGTGGCAGCTCCATCGCCGATAAACTAAATGCACAACGCTCTCGCACACACACATAGGCAAAAATGTCAACAAAGAAAAAGGTTTACTGCAGGGTTGTCAAATGTTTCGCAGCAACAAACGTAGCAAATTCTATATTCGCAAATTGTACTTGCTAAAAATGGTTTGTCAGCTGTGTGTGTTGCGACCTTAATAGGAAGCTTTATACATAGTCAAATACAATATAATGCAGCATTGCAGACAACGGTTGGTTTGTTTTCCATGCGCACATTGCCAACCCTAGGTCCAGGTCTTTCTTTCAGCTTGTTACATGGATCACACGGAAAATGGCGGCGCCTATTACACATATACACATGTACATGTATGCATGTATGTACCTTTAATAATATTCACTGAGGTGGTGGTGGTGGTGCTGCTGCTGTCTGCTGGTTGCTTCTTTCGCTTATGGGTGATGCCACTTTGTCTGTTGCTTCAATCGCTCAGTTCTTCCTTTTTCCAATCTTTCTTTCCGTCGTCCAGCGGCAGAGGCACTATCGTACGTTTATACGCACGGGGCTTGTTTTATTACAGTGCGGGCGGCTTTGTATATGCTTTATATCCAAATATCACAGTTGTAGCCGCAGTAGAACATCGTACGTACTTTGGCGTTTGTTTTGTTGTTGTAGTAGTCGCCGTCGGCTGTGCCAGTTCATTTTTATGTTTTTCTTTCAACGCTCAAACGCCGACGTTCTGTCCCCACCTTTCCTCTCCCATTGTCATGGAGTCGGAGACTCAACTCGGTAGCTAACGCACGCACACACGCACACACACACACACACACGCACACACGACCGCACAACACCAGCGCACACACACACACACACACACGCACACACGACCGCACAACACCAGCGCACACTCACACACAGTCATACATGCATGTGTAGATACATATATTCCTTCGCAACGACGTGCGTGCGTATGTATGTTGTATGTGTGTGCCTTCTTTTTTCAACTACTTTGCATGAACGCGACGTCTCATTTTCTCATATTTCTTTTCTATTTATGACGCGTGTATTATTAACAGTAATTAATAATATTTAAATATATTTGTACAATAAAATGCTATGCTTGCGGCCGAAGAAAAAAAAAACACGCACGCGAGTAACGATTATTTTTAATGTACTTTTCCGCGTTACAGCTCTCCGCGATTCCGTTTTTCGCATTTTATGTAGCAATCTGTGTGACCAACAAACACTCATTGAGGAATCGCCGGAGTAAGCGGAAAAATACTGAATATGCTTTTTTTTTTTGACTGCATGCAGTCAACGGTAATAAAATGCATGTTTGTATATTCATATATAGAGTGATTATGATTATAACTGTTGTTGATTAGCCAAAACAGACACAATTTAGTGATTTTTGTGTTAGTATTTGTTCAAGGAGAGTTGAACCAGACACAAATCAGTTAAAAAAGACCACAATTATCCTGCATGTATCAGCCATATCACCGCAGATTTAAAAGTGCTTATGTTATGCTAACAGCACATATGATGCGGCGAAAATAGGCGTTAACATAAAATACCCTAAATATGGACTGCAGCATTAAAGTAACGTTTATCAACATAAATGTATTTGTATTTTAATGATTGATTAATGTATCACGTTAATTCTTGCTGTTAATTTAAAATACACTTAAATTTAATTACTCTGGCAGCCCAGTCCTTAACATTGCAGTTTACATCTTCCGGCGAATATAGCTGTTAACCTAACATGCCCTAAAAATGGGCAGAGTACAAAACAAACTACTGTCGGTGTGTTTATTTACATATCAAAAAGGAAGTCGATGTGAATGTTATTACCTGTAAATCGACTGGCAGACATCTGCAACGCGAGTAATCACAGCACAACCAATGCATAATGAGACTATATCCGTATTTAGTTGCCGTCTGCTGCATCCACGTGCTTTATGCCTGTAACCATTGGGTGCTCAACGATGAGCAAATTGTCCAAAAATTGGATTCGCCCTTCTTTATGCGTGAGCCTCATAATTTGATTGCCTTTCTGGAGCAGATACGCTACAATGAGTACGTGGAGCGTAGCTACTTGGAGCTGTTGCGCAAACGTGAGCAAATTGTTGAACATTTACGCTTTTCCATGCGCTTCGGCGAGGATCTGGCCGAGCAGGCTAAATGCGCCATGGACTACTATCTGCTAGAGAAGCGCATGTCTTATCTGAAGATAACACCGGATCAGCTAAAGCGCATCAATTTGCCGGAGCACCGTGAGTTACAGCAACACATGCCGCATGGCGGCTTCAAAAGTAAAGCCAATCGTGATCAGGAGCCAATTTGCAAAAACTATCAGGAGTTAGGCGTGGGTCCAGCGACATATGATCATTTGGATAGCTTCCAGCCGGAGGTGCTGGAGTCCGCATACGTAGAGCGGGAGCATGATACGAACATTGGCCAAGCCACCGTTGAGCTGACGCGTCGCTTTGCTCTAGAGGGTCTACAAAGGCAGCCCGATTCATGGAAATTCCATACTCTAAGCTCCTACTATTGGCGGATGCGTGGCAATGCGTTGCAGGCGTTACCCTGCGCGCGCCTTGCAGTTATGTTAGCTCCACCCGAACACAAAGACATTCCACTCCTAAGTCTCGGCACCATTCTCTTTCGCATGGGCCGACTGGCCGATGCAGATCTGATATTGAGTGCGGCGGTGGAGCACGCACCGCTCGTGGCTGAGAATCATGTGGTGTTGGCCTCGGCGCTGGCCATGAAACATGATTTCAATCGTTCGCAGTTCCATTTCGATGAGGCGGAACGTCTGGATCCAAGTACCCTGCCACGCACACAGCAGGTGCGGAATTTCATCACCTGCTTGGAGAATCTCACAAAGAAGACATCGAAAATGTACAGCTATGTAAAGTACATGAAGAACGAGCTGAAGGAGTTCAAGAAGCTGAAGCAACGTATTTTCCAAAGCCACGAGCGATTAGTCCAACAGCAATTACCACTGGGCGCACGCCGCTTCCTCGATTCGCGAGCCAACAACGAGGATTTGCACCGGCGGGGACAATATTGCAGTACCCGGACACCGAATGGTTCCGATGAGCCGGTCCTCTTCTGTGACTTCTACTCGGACATGCAGATGCGCTTGGAGAGCAAGGACATTGACATCGAGGTGCTCGAGCGGGATCTGATGGCCAGCACGGAAAGTGTTATACGCCAAGTCTCCACCGAAATACGCAAGCAATTCAATTTGGAGCAGCTGAAGGCAGCCAAGGCACAAATGCCCGCAAAAGCTACAAAGTCTACGTAGTTGGAGTCGGAGACATCCAAGCTTTTGCTTTCCCTCTCTTCCAGTTGCATTCCATAAAAGCGAAAAGGATGGCAAGAATGGAAAATATTAAGATAATTGTAAAAAAAACTTTTCATGTAAAATAGCTTTTAAAATGTTTATCATTCACTCGTTTCGCATGCCCTTTAAATGTAAATACCTAATATAATTATATTCTATTTCATAAATAGATATTCCTAGATAAGATTACATACACATTTCTGCACATACATATATGCATACATACATATATACAAAATACGTCACTTATTATTTTTATATAACTATCCATTTGTATATATTTTATTAATTTTTGCCTGCCACAAACTGATTTTTAAGCCAAGTTTTTAATTTTCGATTCGTAAACTTTGTTGTATTTCTTCAGAATTTTAGTTTAAGCAAGTAAAAACGATTATTGAATACTCTACGTTAAGAGTACTTATTTTTCGATGATAATATTTTTATAAATACAAAAATATGTTGTTTTTTTTCTTTTTTCTTTTTGCTGTCTCAAACCAAATATGTTTATTCCAAAACTAAAATGATTTAAATTATTAAATAAGCTAACAAATATTTTAGTCTAACTTGGGCATTTTTAATATTGCTAGATTTACTTTCCTGTAACCAAAAATTGTTTAATGCAAATTAGAAATATATTTTTCTTAAAAAATTAACAATACAAATTATTCAAATATTTAAAGTGCTCTAATTTGATTTACATTTTTATTAATTGGCACAATTGAATTTAAATATATTTACAAATTTTTTTATCACTGTTTATTGTAAAAAATCCAAATAAATAATTTAAATTATTTAGGTTAAAATGTAAAGAAGAATCGAATTTTATCCATTTTTAAATGTTAAAAAATGCACAAATAAAAATTATATATACGTGTATGTATTATACGTATATATATATATATGATGTATTTATGTTTTTTACATGCATATTTATTTTTACATACATACACACACATATATATATGTAT